AAATGCAGTTTGAGGGTGAAGGAACGAGGAGGCGTGAGGCGAGAGGGATGCGCGCAGAAGCCAGTGCTGAGTGCTGAGTGATGTCCGCCGCTGATTGGTAATGATAAGTGAGTCCAACATTGGCAGAAACAAATCACAGTGTCTTGATTGAACACTGCCGCACACACCCACCATAGCGGCCACCAGGTCGTCAGGGGGCCTCTGCTCGTCCGGCGGCTGTGAACGCGCAGCTTTAGGCTTGGCCTGCGGCTGATAGTGATGGCCAGGCGTTGCGTATTAATGACTGTTGTTGCAGTTGGCTATGTGTGTGTGTATGTGTGTGTGTGTGGGCACGCGTGTGTGTGTGTGTGTGTGTATGTGTGGGCACGCGCGCGTGTGTGTGTGTGTGTGTGTGTGTGTGTGTGTGTGTGTGTGTGTGTGCACGCGCGCGTTCACACAGGCGAGCTTGCTTGCATGTGTTTGAGTGCATGTGTGTGCTTGTGGCAAGGTCGAGTATATGTGCGTGCGTGTGCATGTGTTTTATTTGGTGTGTGCATGTGTATCTGCGGGCATGCTCATGTCATGCGGGTAAGGGAGCATCTACAACAAGACGGCATTGCGCGGCAGGGGGTTACTAATGGGAAGATTTTCAGCATGAATATTTCTGTCAAGGCGGTGCCCTTCCCTGCCCACCTGCTGCTTTGCGGCCAGAGCGCTGCTGCCCGGCGGCAGCTCGCCTGCCTTGATTGCGGTGCGCGCGGCGGCCACGCTGCTGGAAGTCACGACGCCGTACTCGCCACCAAACCTGGCGGAGAACTTCAGCCGCTGCACGTCCACACCCTTACTCCTCTCCTTGTTCAGGTCGACGGTCTCGGCGATTTCAATCAGCCTTGACTCGGTCAGGGGCCTGGGCAGGATTGGTGTTTGAACCGCATGCAGTGCGTGTGTGGGATGTGGTTGAAGCTTTGAACAACGGGCTATCATGTGGGCGTGCCTACACAAACGCACGATTGCATCAGTACTAGATGACGGTATACAGATGCGCAGGGGTCCGAGGTGAGTGCGGCATGCATACAAGTAGTTGTAAGGGGTTGACAGCCCCGCCCCGTCACAGCGCCTGCAGGCCCAGAAAAATGCAAGAGTCACCGCCGCTGACAGCCGTACAGGTGATTTGATGTGTGGCGTCTCGCAATTGCAATGGGCGGGTGTGCACAACGGCGTGATTTGCGCCGCACGCCCCAGACTCGTGGGGCCTACAGAGCGGAACGGCCAGCTGCAACTCACCAGCAGTTGTTCTTGCTTGTTGGCTCGCCCAGCAGCCCCTTGATGTGTGACATCTCACGCTCGCCTGGTGGTACAACCAGCAGTGTCTTGTTGCTGCAGGTGGCGAGGTACCTGTGTGGGAAGACGCACAGGTGGGGGAGGGGGGTTGATTTGGTGGGTGTTGGATGCGAGGGGGCATGGGTTGTGAAAAAAGCACCGGATTTGACACAATCGTGCCCAACTTGATATTGCACATGCAGCCCTGACGCGCAATGCATCGGCCCCACAAGGCTCGCTCTGATAGCCACCGACCCTCTGCAGTGACATCATGACAGCGTGACGCGTGCGCATGAACCAGCGCCCTCCCCAACACACACACCCGCGCTCGCTCTCACGATGTCCAATTGTGATTGAGAAACTTGAGGTTGAGCGGCGCCTTGCGCCCCGCGTTGGTCAGGTAGTCGAACACTGCCTTCCCAGCACCGGCCTGGATGCACAGCTTGAGGGCTGGGCTCTTCTGAGCGGTAGACTTGCTTCAGCTTGCACTGCCCGCCCCCTGCAGTGGAAGCGCGCCGTCCGGCGGAACAGTGCGCATTTGGTGCAGCGTGTTGTTGGCGTGTGTGGCTTGACAAAGGCAGTCGGGTCTAGACGGCAAGGGCACTAGCATTATATCAGTGCTTGCAATTCCCAACGCGGCGTGCATTTCCCCCACCCTGCGCCCTGCCTGCCTGTGTCCTCCTGCACAGCATTCAGCTCGTAGTGCAGTTTGCACAAAAGGCAGCCGCCGGCTCTCACCTGTCCTGATCCGGGGTACGAACTCCCGCGCAGCGCCCGTCTTGCACCCATTGAGCTCCTTGATCTGCGCGCCTGTCATGCCCCCGCCGCCGCCGTCGTGGCCGCCGCTGTCTGCGCCCTCGCCTACCTCCGCGCTGGCGCTGGCGCTGCGCCTCCGGCTACCGCCGGCACCTCGCGCCCCGAAGTGGCTGCCGCCAGTCGCCCTAGGGCTTTCAGGGGCACGTGCGCGCAACGACAGGGTCAAAGTTCCGCCGCCGTCGTCTGCCACGGCCTCTGAGGCGCCCGGGCGCTCAGGAGGAGCAAGACGCACGCGCCGCAGGATCGCAATGCCGCACTCGGGCTGCTTCAGGGCGTGATCCAGGCGGGCAGCCAGGGACTCAAGCTGCAATGTTGGCTCGGGTGGAGGCTCGTTGGCCGCGGGGTCGTAGAAGACGGCTCGCGCCATGGTGTCGAGGTTGATTGACCAGCTGCTATGTCATAAGTGTTTGCTTTGTTACGGTACCGCATGATATTGTACGATTCGAATCACCTTTGCAGCGGTTGCCCGTGTCATACCGGTAGAGCCAAAACTTTCCGTCCGGTGTCGTCTGCGCACTACATCTGGTTTATTTGTGGCTGGTGATGGACGAATTGTAGACCTGATACAACAATCAGCAATGTCCCGACTCAGTTGGCGGGGCGTGCTGAGCCCCGCAGTAGGCGGCCTCCAAAGCTGCCTGCTTTGCCCCAACAAATCGCCAATGAAGTCTTCGTCTGCATACAGGCACGCAGAGAAGCACCACCGGGGTGGCGCTGTTGCTTCTGGGCTGCCTGCATCGCCCGACCCGGCGATCGGCGTCCCTGCAGCAGCTGCGCTGCGGCCGCCGGCCTCCCAGCCTGGCCGCCCAGCACCGGACGCCGACAGCAGTGCAGGCGACACGAGCGGCAGCGAAGCGGACGAAGAGGACAATGGTGACGGTTTGGACGGCGGCGAGCCCGGCGGCGGCTGGTATGATGACGGTCCTCCTCTGCCGGCGGCGTCGCCGCCGCCGCGCCCCATGACAGTGTCGCCGTGCGGCGACGCACCACCAGGCCGGCGCTCGCGGCAGCGCATCCCATCCCTGCCACCGGTGTGCCCCGCATGTGGATCGGCTGTATGCATGTGCTGCGGCGGGGATTCAGATGAGAGTGAAGTCGGCGTCGCTCGACAGCGCCGTCGTTGTCGGCGATTTGACGAGCAGCGACAGCACCACATCGCGGGGCAGCAGCAGTAGCAGCGACGAAGGACTGGAAGAAGAAGAAGAAGCGCTGCGCACGCCGCGACCTGGCGGCGTCGGCGGCGGAACGCCCTGGCGCGCCTCGCTCAACTCGCCTGACAGCACTCCCCTGCGGCGCGCCGGCCGGCAGTCAGTCACGCCGCAGCGGCACCGCGGGCTGCGCGCCCCCTCGCCGGGCAGCAGCCCCTTTGTCTCGCGGCGGCGCAGCGACAGTCACAGTGACAGTGACAGTGCCAGTGACATCGACCATGGCGATGACGGCAGGGGCGCAGGCGGCGAGGGCGGCCGTGGGGGCTCGGCGGCTGCCGCCGGGGGCCTGCCGCCTCGGGGCGCCGGCAAGGTGGCGTATTACAGCAGGCCCC